CTCAAGTCCATTTCTTTCACCGGGAGGATTGTAGCCTCCTGAAAGGTGGACTTTCCTTCAGAGGTTTTCAGGGAACAATTAGAGAAATAACAACAGTCACACTTCCATAATTAGGCAATATTTATTTAGAATTGATTTATTCCCTTCCCCCCTAACACAATGGAGTTTTGCATGTCAACATTGCCCCCTGGTGTCAACAATGAGGAGAGGACACATTTTTCTAATTATCTGAGGAGATTCTTTAGTTCCAGATGTTTCAATATGAGAATGGCAGTTTGGATATTTAGAAAGATCATCCTGAACTTGCCTTTTCAGATTTCTGGAATAATAGTAAAGAATATTTTCTTTTTGTTTCTTTTTATTCTCATAAGTCAGATCACTTTGGAAACAGAGAATGTAAAACTGGTATTTTGAAGCCATTTTCCTCAATATTCATTGGCTTCTAGTACAGTTTCTTCCAGAATCCCCAAGTCAAAAGAATCCTTAAATCTCACTATATGCTGGTGAATCCTAGTTAGCCAGAATTACCTTGAAAGGCTGCCAGTAAGAAGACCAACTTTGGCCACAGAGTCATTCTTGCTCCCTCTAATGAACAGAGAGGAGTCAACCGCAAAAGATTCAAGAAAATGTTCAGACTTTGTGTTATGGGAAACCACCTGGCTGCTTTAAAGGGGAAATTGTGCCCTTTAAATTTACATTTTGATTCAGATAAAAGAGTCCTTAAGGGCATTCACCTATAATTTTCTCTGCACATTATTGTGGGGCGAGGTGTTCTTATTTATTTTCCCAAAACCAATGAAATCATGGAATAATGTTATAGAAAATTCCATCTGGGTCATGTATGCTAAACCATCCCTAATATCCCATCGGGTCTGTTCAGTTCCAACTAAACAAGACTCTTCTAGACAGATTTTGGAAAAGTTTCCCTCTTGTCCCGTCACCCTAGCTTCCCTGGGACAAGGCTGACAATGAGATGGGTGGAATACAAATTGAATAAATAGATAACACAGTTAGTATAGTGATCTAGTAGAAAGAGAACAAAAGTAATAAGTTCACCCCAAGAGATTTATTAAAGTCATTCCAATTGTAAGGTGTGATTCACACAGTTTCTACCTTATTCTTTGTCTGTGTAGTGAAACATGGTAGGTCAACCGAAGTAAATAAATGATAAGCAGATACACAGCAGAGGAAATACATGAAGGAATTGTGTAGGTACTACAGGTATTCCTCCATTTACAACAGTCCATTTAGTGACTGTTCAAAGTTACAACGGCTCTGTGGTTGAATGTCTATGGGGATTCTCAGTCTTCCAGGTCATGGTTCTCCCAAAGGTCCCTTTTCAAGAAGCAACTGGACGTTCTGGTTTTCCTTTGAAGACATTTCACTTCTCATCCAAGAAGCTTCTTCAGCTTTTCACCCAAGAGGAGCTGAAGACATTTCTTNTTACTGGATCAATGAGCACAATATCAATGAAGAAAGTTTCTGAAAATATGTAAAAAAGCATTTCACAGCAAGAATATTGTTACCTGTGTTCCAAATCAAAGATGGTCAGAGTTGCTTTTTTTCTGATAGAACTACCCCCCCCATCAGTCCCCACTCTTTCATAATAGCATTAACAAATTTTTTAGCCACTCTTAGATGGTATTGTTCAAGTGCAGAAAGCTTAGGGATTATTAGGAGTGAATTTTTGTGAGGAAGGACAGTTGAGCTCCATGAATTTCTAGCATGTAAGCCAAATTCTAAGAGTAGGCTTTGCTTCAGCATCTTCAAATTCTGGGGAAAAGAAAAGAAATATAATGCATCAATAATCTGTCTGATATATACTAATTTAATCGAACCAATATATTTACCAAAATACCAAAAAGCAACAGAATGTCTAGCTATTGCCACATTACATTTTCAGATTGAGCTTTTTCCATGTTTAAAACCACAGTGCCTAAGCATCAGATTTGTTCTTGTACTTTAAAAACAAGAATGTATTTTTCATCATTGTGAAATGAGACAATATTGGAAACCATAATTGTTTAGTAAATAAATCTAACACATTATTCTGTATGAGGAAGAAAAACCAAATAAACAGGAACGGGGAGAAGCAAGCAGAATATCACTCAAAATACCTCTACGCAGCTGGAAGGCCATAAGGATGGTGGGATTGTAACTGGATGACAATGTACACTTTGGCATTTTACCACAAAAAAAATTAAGAATGGAAAAAAAATAGCAAAAAGGAAATTTAGTCAAAAATATATCAGATTTTAGAGAAGGCATGAATATAGTATCCTCACTGTGTGTTCCCACAATTCACAGCAATGTAGCACCATAATATTTGTGTCAAATTTGGTCTGTGATCCTCACTTACATCACTTCAGCTTCAAGTAGAAAATCAGATTTTTAAAAAACGTTCTGCTGAATCGTGCATAGATTAACATAACTGAATCTCTTATTTCATATTTTTAAACATTTAGATTTAAGCAATTTTTACCAAGACTAGCCATGCTCAAAAAGTGTGAGCTAAAGTGTTGTTACAACAGTAAACAATTACTATTCTATATATAATTATCAGATGCAAACATTATGTAAATATGTATCTATAACTAATACACATATAACTCTTATGCTTTTAAAAAAACTACTGTATTTTGTATATGTGAGTCCCATATATCATTAAACATATCCACAGAGTCTACATCTACAAGTAATCCTCACATAAGTAGTAAGTATAATCAGATCTTCAATCCATTGAGTAAAGGGTTCATACATTTATCTTTCCAAAGTTGTGAGATCAGTCTTCTAGCTATAATAAGGAGACTGAGAATCATTTATGTTTTCCAGTTCTTAGTTCCATGTGCTAGGTATGTAATTCAAAAGAATATCATCCTTTGAAATTTTAGCTTTGTCACATAATCACATTTATGTAGTCCACTGCTTTCTCCCAAAATTTAGTAAGTATAGTACACTGTAAACAAATGTGTTTTAAAGGAGAATTGCCCTCATTATATCGCCAACAGAATGCTATCTTGGGCAATCCTTTACTATACAGATTTAATGGAGTCCAGTAAATTCTAAATATTATTTTTTGTGGTATAACACATAGTTTAAGGTCTATTGACACTCTTGCTATAGAAGTTAAGATGCTTTCCCATTCACTAAGAAATACAGGAGAATTGTAATTAGTGTGGTAATGACACTCTGTACATTTTACTTTTTATTTTTTTTTTTTTTTTTTATTTTTTTTTTCTGTTGTATTTTTCCTCATTTATTTTAACCACTTGTTATGTGTTTTTTTCTGATAATGTATATATGTATCTTTGTGTTTCATTCCCTTTGTCCCCCCCCCACTTTTTTTTCTATTATTTTAAAAGCAATAACTCCTGCGAGTCTGCAAGGCCATCAAATCGGTCAGCCCTAGAGGAGATCAACCCTGACTGCTCTTTAGAAGGCCAGATCCTGAAGATGAAACTCAAATACACCTAACGAGAAGAAAGGGCTCACTGGAGAAGAGCCTAATGCTGGGAACGATGGAGGACAAAAGAAGATGGGGACAACAGAGAATGAGGTGGATGGATGGAGTCACTGAAGCAGTTGGCATGCACTTAAATGGACTCCAGAGGATGGTAGAGGACAGGAAGGCCTGGAGGAATGTTGTCGCAATGGGTCAGACATGACTTTGTGACTAACAACAACAACAAAAGCAATAAAATTGTATATAAAAAAGACTATGCTGAGTTGGGTTGCTTCATTTAACTGTATTTTTACAGGAATTCATGTAATCAATTCTCAGTTTAGATAAACTATTTTGCCAGCTCTGTAACATCCAAGAAACGGCCCCAACTGATTTGGTCCTGTCTTCTAACATCTGGAAATGGATTTCACGTATGCTGCTGATATTCTGCACTGGAACAAGCAGGAGCCATTGGTGCAGCTGATTAAGAGATTTTTCAATTAACAGTGGCAGTCTGTTCTGACCTAGGCTTCCTGACACAGTACAAAGCACACACTTAATCCCCAAAAACCCTCTTTTTATTTCAACAACTGTGAATTATGTTCATTCACATCCCATAATGAGTCACAAATAGTTTGTAAAGAGTCTGGCAGAAGTTTGCCAAAGTCTTTTGGGATAAGGCTGATAAGCACCCACTTTTATCTCCCTTGAAACACTGACAAAGACCTAATTGGCAATTAGCTTTGCAAGGTCACACGGAGCATAGAGTCAAAACGAAGCTTCAGAATTTAAACTGCCCAGAACTAAGGAAGTTGCTTCCTGCAAAGGCTCGTGTGCCTTTGTTCCCTCTTTATGATTTATTGGAGGGGCCAATCATCTCCAAGCCTTACTCCCAAGTCACCCCTTTTGTCTTAACTGTTTTTGCCTTCTGGCAGCTCTGTGCATGCGCGCACTGGGAACAGGCTCCCCATGTTCCTCTGCCTTGCTGATGTCCGACTCTGGAAGCTCTGGAGGCAGCACATAACTCCAAGATGGCCCTGGCCCCCTCTCTGCCTCTGACACAGAGCGCTCATCTGAGGTTTCCCCAGGCTCCAGGACTGGCCCATGTTCCTCCCCAACCTCCTCACTGTCCAACTCTGCTGCCAACTCCATAGGCCACTGACAGATCACAACACAGTCATAAGGCAAAAATCCAAAGGGTGTCCTGTATATTATTTAATTCAGTTCCACAGACTAGAGACTAGCTGCACTCTCTCCATGTCATAATAGTTTATGCTTACAAACAAAAACAACAACAATAATAATACAAAAGAACCAAAGAGGCAAGAAGAGGAAGCCTAAATGGGAAATTCGGTTGGAATTGAAGATCAAAAAATTTCGTGGAGATTTGAGCAACTTGAAGAAACTCAGGCAAGGTCAGCTAAAGAACAAGCAGGTCAAAAGCAGCCTGGAAGCAAGATACGATTTGGAGAATAAAGAGATTGCGATAGTAATTGAAGAGCTGAAGCAGAGGGTTGTTGCCGTTGCTGAAAAGATTAAAAGATATGAAAACCGAGTAACTCAATTCAAGGAAAACTCACAGTTCAGAGCAAATCAGCACCAGTTTTACTTATAAAGTGGAAAGTGGAGATGGAGTAACAACAAATGAAAAGCCTGATAAAGAGAAATCTCTGAAATTCTGGAAG